AGTGGGGTACCACACAAACCCATGGAGGCATGGCCAGGACACATATTGGTCCAAAATGTGCTTACAGGTAAAAGGAGCAGATACCAGAGGCTGAGAGAGGAGAAAAGAGAGGAACAGATAAGAGAGGAGGATTGAGGTGCAGATAAGAGAGGATGACAGGCTGAGAGCTGGGGATGCTCAGCCTGGAGAGGACTCCAGGGAGACCTTAAAGGCCCAGCCAGGGTCTAAAGGAGCTCCAGGAGAGCTGCAGAGGGACTTTGGACAAGGGCCTGGAGTGACAGAACAATGGACAATGGCTTCAAACTGATAGAGGGGAGGGTTAGGCGAGATCTTAGAAGAAAATTCTTCCCTGTGAGGATGGTGAGACCCTGTCTCAGGTTGCCCAGAGAAGCTGTGGCTGCCCCATCCATGCAAGTGTTCCAGGACAGGCTGAATGGAACTTGGAGCAACCTGGGTTAGTGGAAGGTTCCCTGGCCATGGCAGGGGGTGGTCTTGAAGGTCCCTCCCAACCCAAACCATTCTGTGACTGTAAAATGTTCCTACTGCCAGTGGTTCTGTTACCTTTGAGCCTGTAGACATTTGTTCTTCTACTTAACTTTAGTCATTAATGTAAAGAATTTCTGACAACTCTCTTTCCCTTCTAATAGTCTTTATAACTGTATGCCAGATGTAAATCTTTTTATGTAGGGAGAAAGCAAAATGGGGAATGACAGGAAAGAAAAAAGGCACCTTCAATGAAGATTTTTAAGATGCTGAGTTGGATCTGCAGGTGCTGTGCTATCCCAGTGCTCAGAGCACTTGAGCTAATGCCATCTGGAGGAAGTTATTTGTTGGGACAGGACAGTGTTTGAAACTTTGAAGTCAGGAATAAACAAAGCAAAAGCAGCTGGAATCTGGCAGAAGAAGAAACAAGCCATTCCTATCAGCCCCTGCTATTAAAGGAATGAGAGCACTGCATTGCAGTTGTTTTTACAATTGTGGAAGTTTATTCTTGCTCTTGAAGAGAGCTGCTTCAGTTGGGGAATAGAAGGAGGATTGTTTTGAAATTTTAGGAAGCAATATGTAGGTAATTACAGTCATTATTGTTCTGGTTTTATACTGAAAAATAACCTGAGTCCTCATCCTTCAAACCCTCCCTATTTATTGTCTTGATGGGGAGAGATGATTTAAAGGCTCATGGACTGACAGGGCAAGGGGAGATGGCTTCAAAATGAAAGAGAGTAGGTTTAGATTAGATATTGGAAAAAAATCCTGGACTGTGAAGGTGGTGGGACACTGGCACAGGGTGCCCAGAGGAGCTGTGGCTGCTCCATCCCTTGTAGTGTTCCCAGCCAGGTTGGACATTGAGGCTTGGAGAAACCTGGGATAATGGAAGGTGTCCCTGCCATGGCAGGGGGAGGAACTGGATTGTCTTTAAGGTCCCTTCCAACCTAAACCATTTTGTGATTCCATTATTACAGTTTTACTTCCAAGATATGGCTCTCTTTCATCCCCACATAGTTTTAAAATAGTTTTATTTCATATATGGACACCCAGTCAGAGGACTTAAAGTACATGGTTTTCATTTGACTTAAAAGTCAGACTTGTTTAGTCTTTTTATTTTGCCAAATAGAAAAATTCAAAAAGAAAGATTTTAAACATTTTTCTTTGTTCTTACTGTTGCTCTATGGTGTGAGTAACCAAACCTCCCTTCAGTGTGGTTAATTCCTTTTTCCTTTGGCACACATTCATGACACCCTTTGTATGTGGCATATTCGGAGTGTGACGGTACCTCTTAGAGAAAAACTCCCTTCACAGGTCACTGGATGGTTGACACACCATTCATTTTTATGCTTCTGTTAAACAAAGCTCTGGAAATTAAGCACTGTACATGAATTTTTTACAGAGTGCCAAGAACTGGAAAAAATCTCTGATCTGAAATGTGACCTTTTCCATCAGTGGATCACCAAGATGTTTTCAGTCACTGATGAGTTTTTACCAGCCAAGGACTCTCTTTCCAAGAGTGTCAATTTTCACAGTTCATAGGAATTTATTCTATTAGATGGTGACAATGAATTTAGAAAACTGGAGGTCACCTAAGGTCACATGCTCCCTTTATTGGATTTTAACAAGGAAAATTTTTATAAATACACCTAACTACATGATTACAAAACTGTATTCCCAGAGCCTCTAAAAAAGGAGGGGGGGGAAAGCCATGAAGATTATTACCTGCCTGCTCTCCTTTCGTGCCCTTTTTGTAAAGGGAAAAAATTTCATTTCTATTTTTATGGTGTATCAAAAGATTTTAACCATTCTGGTAAGGAACTCAGTGTTAAAGAGGAAACCATCTTAATATTGGTTATGAGCTGCTCTCTGATGAGGGGAAGACATAAAATGGAATATCACATTAATAAAGAAGGAGCAGACCAGGGGCTATACAAGGATTTAAACCAGTCTGCCTCTATTTGTGTCTTTATTCCCAAACCCCTCCCTGGATGTGTATATAAAGTGTTTTATGCACTCTGTGTGCACGAGGTTACACTCAGCAAAAGGTAATAATGATAAAACACATATGAGAGTAACTTGGTAGTTGTATTTTTGGGGCCAATGTAGAGTTTCAGGACTAGCAGCTTTCTATCCTGGGAAGTTACACTCATGGAGCAGAATCTCCCATTTAACTGAAATAGGATATCCACAGTTTTTTCACAGTTAAAATGCTGAAAATCCACATTCTGTATTTTCTGTGTGAATTTAACAAAGTCAGATTTCTGCCTTTATAAAAGGGCAGTGTTGACTTTGGGTATTTTTAAGTTAAAGATATTTTGCTAGCTCAGGAACTGGTAAATTTTATGTTGAGCACATAGATGGAAATATTCTTTTTATTTTTTTCTGTCTTTTAGCACTTTATAACTATTGTAAAATTGATCTGTAGTATATATGTAAAATATATTAGAGTATGTGTTAGAGGAATGCAGACTAATATGATACTTTCTTTTAGCACTCACTCCCAGAATCAAAGACTTGAGAAGTTCCGACAGAGCCTTGGGATAAGGGAATATTACTTTCGTTTTTCCTTTCATTTTTTTCTTTTTACCTTTTTTTTCCCTTTTTTTAACAAACCTGAAAACAGCTGTTGAAACAATGACATCATGGAATGTGACATGACTGTGGAAATTATTAAGTCAAGCTTTGAAAGCATCAAACTACATCTAGTGTTGGAGAGGGGCTTTAGTAGAGGATGATTTGCCAGGTTTCCTTGGGCATTGCACAGTCACGTCTTCACTGTTTCATTTTCATGCCTGACCAAACAAACCCTTGGCTTTTCTTCTCAGCAGCGTTTTTGTATCACACAAACACAGCTACAGATTGGAATCCCAAAATCCCAGAATGGTTTGGGTTAGAAGGGACTTTCAAGACCATCTCATTCCAACCCCCTGCCATGGCATGGACACCTTCCACTATCCCAGGTTGCTCCAAGCCCCATCCAACCTGGCCTGGAGCTCTTCCAGGGATCCAGGGGCAGCCACAGCTTCTCTGGGAAATCTGTGCTAGATCCTCACCACCCTCATAACCAAGACCCTCTTCCCAATATCCCATCTAACTCTGCCTTTTGTTAATTTAAAGCCTCTCCCCCTTGTTCCATCACTCCATATCTTTGTGGAAAATCCCTTTCCAGCTCTCTTCCCCTTAAGTGCTGGAATGCTGCTCTAAGATCTCCCCAAATCCTTTTCCTCTCCAGGTGATGTGCTGATTCCCTGAGGACACAAGAAATGTTCCTGTGCTCCTGCTGCCTTCCTGAATAGCAAGAGGCTGTGCTGGCACAGGTCACTGCCTTTCCTGCTTTTACTGTCTTTGGCCTCACTCATGTTTGATTTCCCAGGCTGTTGGCTGCTGTTCTAGCAGGAAAATCACCAGGGGTATTTTATTTTAGCAGTGGGGTTTTGTTTTAATTAGCCATTCGAAGCGTGCTTTGCTGCCAGTCAGATGAATGCAGATGACTGCTTCAGTGACATAGTAGATAATTAACTAGGGTGAAAGAAAGCTTAACTTTTTTGTTTTCTTGGGAAAATAGTGTTTTAATTACCTAGTCTATCACAGAGGAAGGAAGAATTGTTACAGCTTATTGGAATAAGAACAAGCTCCAAGACTTTGCTATTGTACATGGACTCAGATATGTTTGTTTTGCTTGTAGCTGCTGCACTTAAATGCCCCCAGGACAACTGAAATCTCAAAATGCTCTTTCTGTGCTTGAGTGCCAGTGCCATTCTCCTGAGTTCCTTAATTCTTTGTTTCTGCCCTGATCCATGACTTCCTCTCCTTGCTCCATGAATTGATTCAGCTGGTCTCCTTCCTTTGGCTAAATACATTAACTTTTGCCCATGACTTTTCTATGGATCCCATTCCAATGCTGTGGAAAACACCAGAAACACCAGTATACATATTTGAAATTATTCTGAGCCTACTGGAGATTATAGATCCATGTGTGTGTGTATGGTTGTATGTAAATACAGCCCAATGTATATATATAAAACTCAACTCCTTCCAGTACTTAAGGGGCATCCAAAAATTTGGAAAGGGACTTTACACAAGGGCATGGACTGACAGGACGAAGGGGAATGGCTCAAAACTAACAGAGAGTAAGGTTAAATTGGAGATTAGGAAGAAATTCTTCCCTGGGAGGGTGGGGAGGCCCTGGCACAGGGAGCCAGAGGAGCTGTGGCTGCCCCTTCCATGGCAGGGCTTGGAATGAGGTGGTCTTGAAGGTTCCTTCTAACCCAAACCATTCTGGGATTCTGTATGTGCACAGAAATTCATCCCTTTGTTTCCTGGTAAGGAGAGTTCTGCTGGCTAAAGCAGCACCCTCTGAAGTGCCTCAAAACTGTGGGCAGTAGGGGTGTCTGTGTGCCTGTACTTCCATGGAAAATGGAAAAATGGAGATGACTTCAGCAGAGTTCAGTCATTAGTCACAGACAGCAAATAATGACTTTCGTTTTCCTTTTTCCTTTTTTTTTTTCTTTTAGGAGAGGATGCTGCCCCTCATCTGAACCCACATCTTTCTGGAGCAAGGGTGTCAGTGCAGCTGCCTGGCATGAGCACAGCTAATGAAACTCAGAGTCTGAGCAGTGCACGTGGAGATTCTGATTCCTCAGGGACAGACACATTTTAAAGCTTAGGGCTCTTTATGGCAGTCTCTGTCTGAAGATGTTGTCACTGGTATGTTTGTCTGTCTAGTGTGATAGTCTGGCTGTTCCATCAAAATAACAGTCTTTCAGTACTCTTTATTTTCTACTATTTTTTCTTAAAAATTTGTTATTATTTTAAATGATTCTGTCTGTGAATATATCTATTTTTAAGCAAATAAAATCCATTTTTTCCAGAATCGTCGTGAGTTGAAGTCAATAAAGACCTTTTAAATATTTATTATTGTAGGTGAATGTGGAGGTGGTTGGTATTAAAATCTACTGCAAAAGTGTGTCTCACTTACGGAAAACCTCTTGGCTCAATTTCACATCAGTACTGTCAAAATGCTGAGCCAAAGGGAAATGCATTTGCAACCAAAGTCTGCAAGAGAAATTTCTAGGTATCATCAGAGGTTGTTCATCCTTACAAGACCAATATGACAAGCCAGTAATTCAAAACTGTGTATTTGTATTGTTATTATGAAGAATTAATGTTGTCAGACTTACAAGAATTTCTCAGCATTTCATGTTTGTTTCCCTAAAGATTTTTTCCCATCTTGAAACCTGCAAATGAGAGATTGTGTAAGTAAGGCTATTTCTTTACACTTTTAATGTAATTTTTCTTGTCCTTCTCATGTGACAGAATTAATTCCTGCAGTCTCAGCCTTCAGAATCATGACAACCTCAGTTGGGAATGCCACAGTAATGGTTAACAGCAAGAGTGTATGGACACAGTGCCACTCTCCCAGGGACTGAGCCTCTGTCAGGACAAGGTGGTTAATCCAGGAGGAAGGTGGGATCACCTGTCCCAAAAAGCATCCAAGCAAAGTGAAAAACAGGAATTCAGATATGTTCCAGTAGAAAAACTGGGAAAAAAGCTGTTTCTAAGCAGGGCAAACACAGCTTTTTGCTCTGTTCCTCATCATTATGAGAGTTGCAGATACTCATAATCCTGAACAGTTCCCATTATTCTTATTTCCTGGAGCCTGCACTGGTTTCATCTCTCCTTAACAGAGAAATATTCAAAGTTCCTTTTGGCTTTATGTTGATCTCATTGACCACAAGGTTCAGTTAATTTGCTGCAGCCTCTGCAAGGGTAAATGGAAAAAGAGAGAGAGCTTCAGCCTCCAAGGTCAGTAATATCCCCAGGATTCAGCTTTCAAGGGTGTCTCTTGAGCACCTTGCAGAGTTGTGCTTCTCTGTTGTGACAGACACATAAATAGCAGATTGGGTGGAGGTAAAAGAGTGTCAGGCTTTGTGCAAAATGAACATCACTTAAAAAAAAAAAGGAAAAGCACAAATGAGAATTACAGAGCTATGGAGTGGTTTAGATTGGAAGGAACCTTAAAGACCATCCAGTTCCAACTCCCCTGCCATGGGCAGGAACACCTTCCACTATCCCAGGTTGCTCCAAGCCCCATCCAACCTGGCCTGGAACACTTCCAGGGATGCAGGGGCAGCCACAGCATCTCTGGGCAACCTGTGCCAGGTCCTCACAATCAAGAATTTCTTCCTGAAATCCAGTCTATGGGATGGCATCTCTGGGAGCTGGGTTCCAGCACGTGATGCCACAGCCCCTGGCACCAGCAGGGAGCTGCTTCTCAATGTTCTGGTGCTGTGACAAGGATCTGCACAGTTCTGTTCATTGCTGCTCTCTGTGGAGCTGCACTTTAAATCCCACTATTGACCCAATCAATGCTTTGTGTAAACAACAGCTTCTCTGGGGAGGATGGAGATGTTCTTTTTACTCTGCAGTAAAAGTTGCTACAACAAGTGATTGCACTAAAACAAGTGAGAGGATAAGGAAATGCAGTGGAGAGGGCAAGAGCTTCTTAAACTTAAAGCTTTCCTGCAAGAGCAAACCTTCCTGGAGCTGTGTCCCAAGGGCTCTGTCAGTCTCCTGCATGGCTCGGGGTGCTGATGTATAATTTAGGTGCCCTTTGTTGCAGTGTAAAGAGCAGTTGAGCTGTTCCTGTGCCCAGGGCTTCAGGGCTGGGTCAGGACTGTGCTTTGCTAAACAAAGTGCAGTAATTGAATTGAGAACATGCAGAGAGCTGACAGATGAGGGATGGGGATGGGATGGGAGGCAGCAGATGGATACACAGGCAAGGAGACTGTTTAGGAAAGGATGAGGCAGCCCAACCAGTGGGAGAGGCCATCAGCTCATAATCCCAGGAAAATTACTGCGTGGGGTTTTATTGTCTGCAATGCTGAGCATCTCACATTTTGTTCCAATTATCTTCTCTTGCAATTAATCAAAGGTGTTGTCATTGTCATTGACAGAATTGTGGAAAATTTTTGAGGAAATGCCCAGTGAATACCATTTTCAGTCAGTTTTTAAAATTCCCCACGGGGCTGTGTTCTCTCCCAGCTTGTCGTGACTGACTGATGTTTTTGGAAGCTTCTGGGTTCCTGGCACTGAGCTTCAAAGATGTGCTGCTGGTGGGGATTACACCATGGATGGCAGTGGGATCTGCTAATCCTTCATCCCCACTGCAACCTGTGCTGTTCCTATTCAAAGAGCATTTTGAAGAGGTGAAAAAAGGGCAAACTCTTGGCTTTTCCTTCCTCCAGGCTTCCCCAAAACCATGTGTCCTGCCACATAAACATAAGGGAACCTCTGTAAATCTGGCACTTCATGCATGGATCATATTACAATTCTTTATATTCCTAGGAAAAGCCAGGGGGAGAAGGGAGGGTTGCTTTGGTTTTTATCTAAGTCTTCATTTTTGACTTTGAAATGGAAAAAAAAAAAAAACCCTAAACATTATCTTGTAGAAATTTATCTATTTCTTACTTTTGGATTCAGTCTTGTATTTCAGGTTCCTGTAAGTAGTTTTCCGGAGTTGGAAATGGTAAACACATGTTCTGTGAGCACAGCCAAGCCTTGATAAGGAATTTTTCTGTCTGCATCTCCAAGTTCCATTTTGTTTCTGCAGCTTTTATGATTGAAAATGCACATTTCTCATGGGCACTCATGGAACTGAAACAGCGTGATTTGCAAGCTTGCTAAATGGATTTCTTCCAAGCCAGTCATTGGGGTATGTCATCAAAGCTTAACAGCATCAAATGGAATTCCATCCAGGAAAAGTATTAAAAAAACCACCTCTATACAGCTCTATTTTTCAGTCAAATCTCAGCAGCAGAGAGGTGAGGGGTTAGGGGGGGGGTATTATTGGATTTCAGGGTTGTAGCATGGAAACCAAACCCCTGGCTTTGTTTTTTGGTTTGTTTGGATTCCTGGTGAAGTTTGCTCGTGTCTTACATTGGGAGAGCTCTGGAACGAGGCTGTTTGTTCATGGATTGGACTGGCAGTGCTAGGAAAGCACGAAACTGAAATGTCAGAAGCTTTTATATTTGCAGAGAATCTTTTTCTGACTTAGAGGAAAATCTGGCATTTTGGAAGTGAGGTGCTCAAGAATCCATGGCTTTTTTCCCCCTCTTCTCCCCTTGCTGAAGATAAAAGAGAGCTGGTGTATATGGTGAGAGTTGAAGGACATGAGATTCCTGGCACAGGGGGAGATCCCAGCTCTCAGCCCAGCTGCTGTCACCCTTCCCTGCTCAGCTTATCTGGGTTTTCAACATCAGGAGCAGAAAATTTCATGTGCACACTTCTATCTCATCTGAATCGTGGGAAATAGGATAAAAGTGAGGTTTTTGTTATTCCTGTTCATGGCTCGGAGATAGAAGTTGTCAAAATTAGCTGCTAAAAACATGAGCTGACCTTCCCAGGTGCTTTATGAATCGCTGCAGGATAACATTTCTGTCCTGATGGAGGAAAGATGTGTGTGCCAACCTCCTCCCAGTGGATTAAGCACTCAGATGTGTAAAATGACACATGTGCAAAAATTCTGTTGGATTCCAGTCTGAAATGCAGCCACAGAAGAGCTGGAACCCTGCAACTGTTTAACAGCTCACTGTGAACACTTGGCACAAGCACTGGGGGCAGGATTGCATCCTGTGGGATTGTTACACCTTGGGAAATCCACCCTTCCAGAGGTGTCCCAGTGGTGTTTTGTATGTGGAACTGAAAGCTTCTGTATAAGCATTGAGATACTTGCCTGCTTGGCAGGATTGTTCCTATGGAGATCTCTTTTTTTATTCCCTTTTTTCTGCTGCATTCCTGATTTAGATGCATGTCTTTCATACGTTACCTCAAAATATTCATTATTTTGATTGTGTGTTGAAGCCTCCCCCCAGCCCTCCAGGACTTGGATGGGATTTTGGTTCTTTGCTCTTGTGAATGTGACCAGATCCCTTATCCAAATCTCAATGCTGTGGCAGCCTTGAGCCAGGTCAGGGAACTGCAACAAAAGGTTTTTCCAGAAATCCCAAATAAAATTATGGAAATCTCAGTGTGGTGCTGTGGCCAGCTGAGCAGAGGCCAGAGTAAGGCCTGGGCTTTGTTCCTGTAATTTCAATAACACAAATCCACAGCCCTGTATCCATGTCTGCAGCTTTTGTTGTATTTTGGGTAGAAGGGGAGGCCTGGTTTTGTCTTTTGCTCTCATTCTGTGCCTTGAGAGGTGAGTACAGAAAGGCATAGTTCAGGGGTTATTTTGTTCTTTATACATTACTTCATACTTAGGTTAAAACAGAGAAAGAAGAGTCAAGAAATAAATGGAATCAGAAGCCTGTGAGGTGCCTCAATCATGGGGGAGATAATTCCTCAATATTTCCAGTGCAAGAAAGGGAAGAGGTGCTTTTTCACCCCCTCTGCAGGACTTTCTTGGGGCAGAGAATCATTGTCCTTGTGGTCAGACTTCATCTCAAAGGCCCCAGGCAGGCAGATCCTGCACCAAAGTTGTTGAGGAGAAGGGAGATGTGAAGCCCCTGAAATTTCTTGAACTAGAAACCAGTGGGGCTCTTGCCCATGGTGTAGGGCAGCTCCCAAAAAAAAACATTTGGGAAGAAGAGATACAAAAATCACTCACATGAAGAGCTGAGCAAACAACTTCACCAAAAACCAGCTGAGAAGCAGCAATCCTGCCTACTCTGCTGATGAGCTGGGATCCCAACCAGCTTCCAGGAGGGAGTTTTGGGAGGAAGGCAGCGAGCTCCCAGCAGTGCCAGTCTTCATCCTGCCTGTTTGGGCAGACAAGGCAGCAGCTTGGACTCTCCAGACCACTCTCAGCTCTGTTCTCTCCTGGCAGGGGTGCCCAGCCCTGCAAATTAGGGTTGCTAACACTTCCTTTTGCCT